ACCAGGATGTTGCCTCCGGGGCTGGGAGAGATTTACCAGGATGTTGCTTCATACTGGGAGAGATTTACCAGGAGGGAATGTTGAAGGAGGGTGGGTTCGGAAGGGGCTGTCAGAGGAGGCCGCAGTGTGGCTTGTAGATAGTATACACTGCTGCGACTGTGCCTGAGAGGGCAGAGGGAGGGAGGGAGCGAGTGTCGAAGTGGGGATTGGGTCTGTCGATCGAGCGGGGGAGGGTGGTTTTGCTTTCTCTCTGGATGGTCATTCCGCACCCTCCTCCTTATGTTGGAACATGTTCCGATAACCTCCCCACTTATTCCCCATGAGATACTCGTCCAACCTTTAGCTGAAATGGGCCCCCCCCGCTTACTGCCAGGAAGCAGAAGCAGCAGGTACACATGGGTTTGGTCAGTAGGGTTTCGGGGAAGAAGGCAGGAGAAGGGAGAGGAGTCTCTCACGGACTGATTTTTCTCCATATTTCTCCTTCTCTGCCTCTCTCTCTGTCTCTCCCTCCCTCTCTGCCTCTCTCTCTCCCTCCCACTCCGTCTCTCTCTGTCCCTCCCACTCCGTCTCTCTCTCTCTCTCTCCCTCCCTCCCTCTCTGTCTCTCTCTCCCTCCCTCTCTCCGATTGTCTCTCCCTCCCTCGCGGTTTGTCCCTCTCCCCCTCTGGCCCCCACCACCCCTCTCTCTGTCCCGCGTTGTCTCTCTCTCTCTCTGGTTTCCCCCCTCCCCCGACAGGAGGATATGGTACCTCTGATGGACGATTTGAGACTCTGTTCGGTGCGCACCCTGGACGAGATGGACAGACGCTTCTGTTTTGAGATTTTCTCCGTTCACGCGTAAGTACGGACCCTGGGGCCAGGGGGCGTGGGCCCTGGGGTTTGGGGGCGGGGGTGTGGATGGTGTCAATCCCACATTGATGGGTTTGGACACAGAGACAGAGAGAGAGAGTCCCTCTCGCAGCACCATATAACCCAGCTCTCCCTCCCCCTTCTCCAGGAGCTGTATACTCCAGGCCGACTCTGAGGCTTCACGTCAGGCCTGGACTGAGGCCATGCGATCGACAATTAACTCAGCTTACAGGGATTCCCAAGTCCTGGACAGACGGGCACAGGTAGGGCAATGGAAAGAGAGAGGGGGCGCTCCCTCGGCGCCGACCCTCCGGCAGCGCCCCGCTCCCTCGGCGCCAACCCTCCGGCAGCGCCCCTCTCCCTCAGCACTGACCCTTTGTCTCCATTCCAGGGTTCGGAGGTCAGTGCCCCCGGGACCGAGGGCAGGGACCCCTACGCCGAGGGCCAGAGGGTACTGGAGCAGTCCCTCCGAGTGGCCGGGAACCAGCGTTGCTGCGACTGTGGGAAGGCCGACCCTCGATGGGCCAGCATTAACCTCGGGATCACCCTGTGCATCGAGTGCTCTGGCATACACAGGTCAGCGAGCAGTGGGTTGGCATTCCGTGTTTGGGTGGGGGAAAGGGGGTGCAAGAGAGGGTTAATGACCCTGCAGCTGGGGTTCGGGCAGCGCCGGGAAACCGGGAGGGGGTGGCAGAGGCAGGGTTACTCGCCCCTACCCCACCCCACCCCCCGAATCAGGAAAACAATTGTCAAATGTCTCCGCTTCTGGCTTTGATGTCTCCTCTTCTTCCCAGGGGTCTCGGCGTCCATCAGTCAAAGGTTCGCTCTTTGACCCTTGACACCTGGGAGCCAGAGCTGCTCAAGGTAAGGCGTGATCCGGTTTGGCGGGGTCAGTGGCCGGAGTGCATACTGAGGTCAAGCTGCGATCGGATTGGGTCCACAGTGATGGTGTGGAGCAGGGAGGGGGTTTGGGGTCCATTGGGTCGGTGCAGAGAGGGAGTGAACGGAGAAGTGGTTTGGGGTCCATGGGGACGGTGCAGAGTGGGAGTCAAAGGGGAAGGGGTTTCGGGTCCATGGGGATGGTGCAGAGCGGGAGTGAACGGGGTAGGGGTTTGGTGTCCATGGGGACGGTGTAGAGCAGGAGTGA